TTTCACAACTTCTTCAATTCCATTGATTCTTAAATTGGTCTCTTACTATTGTTCTGAAGTTCTTCTATATGTTGCTCATGTTCATTTATTTTCTTTTCTTTATTTATTTTCTTTTGTTTAATACTCTCTAAATGTTCAAGATTGGCCACTTTTGTCTTCCAGCTCTGAAAGAATGTATTCAGCCTGATTTACTCTCTTAGACTTTCAACAAAACATTTTACTTGATTGTTATGTCTTTTGATTCCAAGATTTCCCATTGGCTTTCTTTTTCAGTATCTCTATCATCTTATTGATTTTATTATTCCTCTCTCTGAATTCCAGATCCACTCAGATTTTTGTCTGTGTTCTCTTGGAATTCATCAATTGTTTTGATAATTATTTGTTTGATCTTTTTGTCTGTTATTTTATCCATGTCAGTATCTTTGAATTCAGCTACTTATGAATTATAAACTTTAGGATGTGTCATGCACCTTGTTTCTCTTTCAATATTATTTTAGTTTCTATGTTGAGTTTTATGCATTTTCTGTAATAGATTTCTCTTTTGCTCTTTCATGTGGTCTTTTTGGTGAGCAGCTTTCTTTTACAAAAGTGTCCTAGGGTAATCTCATAGGTATGGTATCCACAGTCTTTGTGCTAATTACTATAGCCGTGTATGTCCATGAGTGGGATCTGAGGGCCCACACCTGGCTCATTCTGCTTGGGGACTGGATTTTTTTTCTGTGTTTTGTATTAAAGATAGTTGTTAGTATGAATGTTGTTAATTTGAGTATGGAGCAAGATGCTCTGTCTATTTACTGAGTTTAGCTGAGCATCAGTCTCTGCCCCATAAACTTGTGGTGTCCCTGTTAATTTTAGCACCTCAAAGAAGTTGGGAAAACAAACAAAACAAGTACTTACACAAACAATAGACTGCATTAATAAAATAGTAGGTTCTTATTATGACATCAACAACATTAGCACAAACCACAGCAATGTTTGGGTCAGCAATTACCAGCAAAATTAGTAAGTAGTAATGAACTAGATCTGGTATTACAATAAACATCAGGTTTCAACTCTGTCACTCACACCAGTAAAAAATGCAGCTATATGAATGATGGGTGCAAGAGTTATATAAATCTATTAGTTCTAAAAGATGGTAAAAATTCAGTTCATGGGCTGATAGTGTAGCTCAGTAGCACAGTACTTGCCTAGCATGTGTGAGAAACTGGATTTGATCCTTAGGACCACATAAAAATAAACAAATAAAAGATATCTGTCATCTACAACTACAAAAGAAATTTTAAGAATTCAGTTCATTAAGAGAAAATAAAATATGATAGTGAGGTAGAATTAAGTTGACAGTGTTTAAAAAGTGATGTTAGAGAATGCAGAAGAGATGTAGCAGGTGATGGTTATTAGAAAGGCTGATGCAGAGTTGTTCAAGGGGAGTTTCAGGTGTGGGCTTAGGTGCAATCAGGCTTAAATTGTTTGTTGGCTGGTATCTGCTCTGGAGAGATTAGATCAACACACCCATAGGGCCTCACTGTTGGGGGTCTCTGTCAGGAGTATCTACCTCAGGAACATCCAAAGACTTCTAATCATGGTGCAGGGAAGCTAATCCACTATACCCTCTGCTGCTCATAAACACAGACTTCCAAGGCTTAGTCCTTGAGTGTATTCATATCCACCTGTTGAGATTTCCAACCCTCTTCATCTTTCACATGAAGAACCCAAAGGAAAAGCAAGTTGAGCTCTTTTTTATTTTTCTTACTTGAATCCCCCTGGATACAATCTTCTCTGTGCCTGTTTCAATCATGCTCTGCTAGACATACCCTAGGCCAATCAGTAGCCCTCTGTCAAGGCTGGCCATATTTCCTATGATCTCCTGGCTTCCCCTGGTTGAGCTAAAGTGTGGCCTCTACAAAATGGCTTCAGCCTCAACTTGCCAGTTGAAAAATACAGAGCACACCCTTTAAACACCACTTGGATTAGCTTCCAGATCATCTAAGTTAAAATGGGTTTTCTCTTCTACAGGTTTTTCTGTTGCTAATCTACTTATTGTGTTTCTCTGGGTTCTCCCTCCCCTCTTTTGGGGACCAGCACCTCTGTTGCTACTGCAACCAGCTTGGTTCCAATGTATGCTTTCTTCTTAGTTAAGTGCACCCAAGTTCCTGAGTCTGTAAAGTCACTGCTGTCATAGGAGAGCAGAGAGAGAAAACTTCAAACCTCTGTTCTTTTCTTTCAATGAAAGAAACTTTCATATCCGACACAAAAGCCATGCAAGAGATCTTTATTATAAGTGACAGAAAAAAATGTATGTTGAAGTGAAAATAAAGTAAAAGCAAAGTAAGGCTTCAGAGAGCTCTCACAGGAGTGAGTGTGTCATCTCCAAGTGATGTCTCAAAAATATATCACCATTTGGTGCCTGCCTTCAGCAATGTTTGCCAATAAGGTGTTCAACTCATCCTTTACATCAGGCGGTATAGTTTTTTACTTTAGTTGGTCTTATCTGGAACTGTCATGGTTTGGCCATTCTATTGGGAGGAGTTGACCTACAAGACAATCATGTTAATGTGAGCATGGGGGTCAGTGTCCAGTCAGAAGTTATTTTGGTGTGTCTGAGCAATTAAAGCAATCCTCCTTCCCAAATAGAAGCATCTCTAGCTATAATTCTTAGCTGCACTATCAACCTCAATGGACATAGTCAAGGATTAGTCCCTTTATTTTTCTTTGTTGATGTATTTCCCCAGTTATCCCCTTTGTTTCTGTTTGTTTTTTTCTACAAATTCACTGTGACCATTTACTTTCTCATTCACTTTGAAAGTAGTTTAAAGAAGATGCTAAAATAATTTAAAGAACACTTGGATTCTTGCTGTGTGTTTTACTGATAATTGCTAGCTACAACCTAATTATAGCACATGTGAAAGATTTCTTGGTGCAGTTTTGTAATCCCTCCCTCTTACCTCCTCCTCTATCCAGAAATGACCACTTACTAGAGTTTTATTTTCATAGACTACACTGTAGTATGAATCTCAGACAAATCAGCAATTAGAGTCCAGGTCTACATGGTGGGTGACCCTGGGACAATCCATTCATCACCTGCTCTTAGTTTATTTATCATAAAATCAGGATTCCACCAACAAAGACACAAGACCACTGGGAATGTTAGGATCAAAGTTTAGAAAAAAACTAGAATCACCTCTGGTACATAGTAGGTTCTCAGTTTTTGGAAGTCAGTATCACAACCAACACTTTGTTTGTCCATAGTACAATTGGGAATGTGTAGCTCCACAGTGCCTTCCTATCTCCTAGAGTTTATATCTCTTATAATTGAAGCCCTGCTGACAGCCTTTCCACCTTCTGCTCCTGTATGTTCATATTCTGGATATTTCATTTTAATGGAGTTATACAATCTGTGATTTAAAAAAAATTAATTGTAGATGAATGCAATACCTTTATTCATTTATTTATTTTATGTGGTGCTGAGGATAAAACTCAGTGCCTCGTGCATGCAAGGAAGTGATCTAACACTGAGCCACAACCCCAGCCCCCAATCTGTGATTTTTTGTGTGTTTGATTTTAATTAGCTTAATAATTTGGAGACCTATCAATGTTGTAGTATATATCAGAATTTTATTCATTTTTATTTCATATTGATATTCTACCATATACATGTATAAATTACAAATATACTTATGTACTTTAATATATATACACACATGGGCCTATTCATATATTTATATATAATTAAATATATATTCATATACACACCACATTTGTTTATACATTCTTTGCTTGATAAGCATTTGAATTTTTACATTTTTGCAAACTTGAAATGTGCTGCCTGGTTGCTAGAATAATTTCAAAAAAGACTACAACACAGCTATAATTATACAGAATGAAGGACAATGTAGAAAAAAGAACAGAAGAAATATCAGTGGAATAGATAAAAATGAAGGGAAGAGAGGAGAGATGGAATAGGGAAAGACCTGGAGTGTATCTGAACTAAATTTCATATTTCATGTATATATATATGAATGAATATACCACAGTTAATCTCACTATCATATAAATCCACAAGACATGAATTTGAAAAACTAAGTAAAAGCAGAAAAATCAGTAGAGAAAATGGATGAGGTGATGGGAAGATGGGAGGGAAGGGAAAGTACTTAGGACTGAATTAGAACAAACAATATTCTATGCTTTTATAATAATGTCAAAATAAATTCAATTATCATATACAACTTAAAAGAATAAAATTAAGAGTGGGGATATAGCTCAGTGGGTTGAGTGCTTGCCTTGAAGTCACAAGGCTCTGGGTTCTAATCCCCAGCACCACAAAAAAAGAGAACAAATTAAAAATAGAACTTTATTAAAAAAAACTTAAGAATCACATCGGTTACACATCCACGTTTTTACATAATGCCATACTAGTGACTGTTGTATTCTGCTGCCTTTCCTATCCTCTACTATCCCCCCTCCCCTCCCCTCCCATCTTCTCTCTCTACCCCATCTGCTGTAATTCAGTTCTCTCCCTTGTGTTTCTTCCCTTTCCCTCACATCCTCTTATATATAATTTTGTATAATAATGAGGGTCTCCTTCCATTTCCAAGCAATTTCCCTTCCCTAACTGATGTGATTCTGCAATGTGTATATGGGGTAAAAATGGGAGTTCATAACCCACTTGAATCAAATGTATGAAATATGATATGTCGAGAGCTTTGTAATGTTTTGAACAACCAATAAAAAAACAAATTTAAAAAAAACTTAAAAAATAAAATTCACAAAATTATACATATTATTAATATATGTGACAGAAAGTAACATGAAACTAAAAATCTATAGATGTAAATCTAGAAACTCATGCAAATATAAGGTAAAGTTGTACATAAAATCCTTAATAATGACATAGGTTACATTACCTGACAAAAACTTTGATATATTCATTAATATTTTTTTTATTCTGAGAGACAATTCTATAAAATAGAGAACATTGTTTTATTGAGCGTGGTAAAGGTGCCTTAGATCAGTTTTGTCAGAAACTGATCTTTGTTCCGGCATTTGGTTTGCATTACTTTTATTATTTGAGTGTCAGCACCGATCAGCACCAAAGGACTGACTGAGCCATAGCCATTGTCCACAAGCATGTGGAGACACACCAGGATGGGGTTATTGGTCCATGTCATGCCTATGAATAATGAAATAAAGAAATCTGCACAGTACAGAATGGAAAAGCAACTGATGAGCTGCAGAATGGTGTGAGTAGCCCTTTGTTGTGGGGAGGTCTTTGGGGAGAACCCAGAACTATGAAGAGTCATGGGCCGCTGTTTATGTGTGTACAAAAGAATGATCATGTATCCACTGGAGAGAACCATGAGGCTCACAAAGAAGACATCACTGAGTGCCATCAAGGTGAGAAAGATATCCCTGTAAATTGTTATAAAGGAACAGCAGTCAGTGACAAACAGAAGACCAGTTTTATTGGTTGTGGCCACAGTACACAGAAGCTGGTTGCTAGAAATTAGCATGGAAAAGACTGACAAGAACAAAAAGAGCCACCATATGTGATTTTGGGGTTTAAATTTGAAGGGGCCAACCAGGAGTCATGGAGACTGATGGTGATGGCCTGAAGCACACTCAGGACACAGGTGGTGCAGATGGAGAGTCCCCTCATGACTTTGTGCAGGAAGACAAGCACTTTGCATTTGAGGTCAACTGGAATGTCTTGTGTTTCCCAAATGTCTCTAGATATCAGAAGGTCCATGGTGAGGAGCATGAAGATGTGTGTCAGAGCCAAGTGGGTGATGGGGAGGTCCGTGAGCCTGGGCTTGTTGCCCACGAGGACAGCAGCAATGTTCAGACATAGCAGAAAGGTGTTTGCTGAGATTCCAATGCCAGGTTGGGGATAAAAGGCATTTCTTATGGCACTGAATGTGGAATGTTGTTTCATCTTCATGAGGATGTTGAAGGTTGAAACAAACGTGTTTCTGGAAAGAAAACCAGATGTGATTGACAGAAGTAGTATTTTCATTGCCATATTTCTGTCATTTTATCACCTTTTACTGTATCTAGAAGCATTAGTTACTACAATAGTTTCTAGTAAATAGGATAGAGTATTTTTTCCATTGTCAATTTAAGTTGAATGGAGGGTGTGTGGCTCAGTGGTAGAGTGCTGGCTTGGCCCACAGGAAAGTTTTGTTGCACCCCAGGCATTGAAAAGGAAAATAATAAATAAAAATTCATTAGTTAATTTTACCTTATGCACCACTTTCAGATCAGTGATTTTGTATATTTTCCACTCACCTCATGGATTTGCTAATATCTTACTCTGGAAAACATACTATGCTTTCCTTTAGGTTATAAATTCCATCATATTATAATCACTTACTTTTAATTTCTTCCTGAAGTGTTCTTAAAAGTAGAGTTGTTGTCTTATTTATCTTTGGAATAAAGTATCTGAAATACTGCTGCTACATAGAAATTTCCCATGAATGATTGTTGGTGTGAAGGACCGACTAGCGGAAATTGGAATCTGCCAGGGAAAGAAATACTCTCACGATGCTCAATATCATGGTTTCTTTATAGAAGTACAGAAAATGTGGAAAAATTTGTAGTTGTGTTCCTCACCCAGATGACTTTATTTAACTCATGCCACACCACTTACTATAATGGTGAGCCCTGTCCCCTTACATAATTAATTTCATCTCAGGTTATATCCTGAGTAAAAGCAGTACCAAGATAGAACATTTCTACTAGCATTGTTGGTGTGAACAATTAAATAATGGTTAATATATTTGAAGCACTATATAAATTTTAATTATTGTTGTATTTTTATCACTATCTCAACTTGGTTTGGGAGATTTAATTTAGTATATGAAAAGTTTCATAACTTAAAGTACAAAAGTCTACCAAACATTAATGCTTGCATATTGATAGTATTCTAACTTTTCTCCCCTCATTTTAAAATTACTCCTAGCAATATATTTAAATGTTTTCATATTGATACACACTCCAGAGAAACAGGCAGACAGCTGGTATGACCTCCTTCTCATGGATGAGCACTAAGAAATGCCAGTTTCTAGGGTTGGGGATGTGGCTCAAGTGGTAGCGCGCTCGCCTGGGATGCGTGTGGTCCAGGTTCGATCCTCAGCACCACATACAAACAAAGATGCTGTGTCCACCGAAAACTAAAAAATAAATATTACAAAAATCTCTCTCTCTCTCTTTAAAAAAAAGAAATTCCAGTTTCTATTTTAATTTTCTCAGACCTGTGTATAAGAGAAAATAGTCTAACGAGATCAATGATGGTGGGGCATCTTTTACACAAAATGTCCCATGCAACTTGTTCAGTTAAATTCTGACAGATGTTTAGATGCTCAGCAGTAGGAACTGATGTCAAGTGCCCTTCAGTTAGTCTCTCATATGATCCACAGTTCTGTGGGTGCATGGTCAATGTCCCACTGAATAGCAGGGCCCTGGATCCTATGCAGGCATTTTCTTCAATCTCTTTAACTTGTGTCTTAAAGTTTTTGATCTATTAAACACTGAGAAAATGGTAGTAACTTAATTCTGGGCACTCATATGAATAGTAAGAATTATGTAATAAATGAATTTATATGCTCCAATTTATGAAAATAACTATCTAATGAAAGGCAGAGTTACTGAGATTCAATAACCCCAACATAATGCCTATGAAATGAAGAAAGTGGGCATAGAAATAAATACAGAGAAACACAAGAGACTCAGCCCAGGGAAGCCACAGAGCCCATGTACAGAATGCACAGATACCATGTGAATAGGGTGGAATGCAAGAGATATATTTGGAGTAAAAAGCTGAATCCCATGAAATTTATAGCTAGCATTTTTATCATGACATTGGGATAATTCCTATCCCAACATATGTATGTGTTTTTGAAGAAGAAAATAAAAAACAACATTAGATTTTTAGGTGATTAACAAACAGGAAAATTATTCTCATAAAATACTTGCTGAAATTAGCTGAAAATCTAGCCTAAGAAGGTTTGTAGAAAGCAAAAAAGTGAACATTTTTTTTTTTTGCAGGAGGGACAGGTGATTGGACCAAGGAGTGTTTTATTATATCCCCAACCCCCAGTCCTTGCTATCTTAAATTTTGGACAGTTTCTCACTATTGTGACTTAGGACATAACTAATTTTCCGAGACTGGTCCTGATCTTGGCATTCTCCTGCCTTTGACTCCCAAGTTCCTGAAACAAATGTCACAGTCATGCCCAACTAAGGTGGAACTTTACTCATCTAGTCTATCTCTTTGCTTGTTTTTCAGCAGATAAAAGAAAGAAAAATGTCACACACACACACACAAACACACACACACACACACTTTGTAAATGCAACAAAACTTGCAATTTCAAGGTACATCAAGTATTTCAAACCTAAAATTCAGGCATTGATAATAGGACCCATCAACTTCAATCTGTCATATTCTAGTTGGTACATTTGTCACCAGAGAAGAGAAAGAAATGTCTGCTATGAGCAAGTTTACATAAAACTGCAAGTCTGCATTTGGATTGATACTTTTTGGAAGATCCTGGAATATTCCTTAGCTAAGAAACATTTACCAGCACATTCATTCAGACCCTGAAATAAACCCAAGTGATCAGTAGTAGATGTCTAAGACTTTGAGTCTCCTTCAGGAAATTGGGCCATATTTCACAAGTGTCTGTCATCCTGTTTCAGACATTTGCCTGGCTTCAGACATTTGGTAATCAGGATGGAAAACATCTCCACTACTGTAGTCTAATTACCATTTCCTTTTCTTCAAAATCATACAAATTCCTAAAGTTTACAGTAATATACCTTAATGAATGTGCAAATGTGAATTCTGTGATTATTCAGTGACTGCATAAAAACTGTCATTGGAAAATAATTTTATGAAGATTATTTTCAACTCTGAACATCATTAATAAAGATTTGGGTGACTGGAGCAGCAAAAAATGCTTTATAATATTGTATATTTTTCATTAAAGATGAAATATTTTTCCTCTAGGTTATTTTAAATTGCTGTTATTTTCTACAGAAATTTCAGTGAGAATACAAAAAAAAAAAAAAAAAAAAAAACCAAAACAGGACTTTGTTTCATTTCTAGGGGATTCAGTAAATTTAATATAAGCAAAATATATCTTGCTTTTTAATAAATTGCTACTTATGCAAAAATTGTTGTTTTAAATTTTATGTATTTTCCTAATGATTGTGCATTAGTAAAGAATAAAGCTAGTAGATCAGCTGGGAGAAGGTGACAATTCTAGACATTTTCTGGATCAAGGAACAATGATTTTTAACATAGGGGATATAACCTGTAGCCAGATCAGTGGGTCTATATTTATGTATAATAGCATTACTCTGCCAAGCCATGAATAAAATAATGTTTATTTCATCAAAAGTTTAAAATTCTTCAGTTTTCTCTCTTTGCATCTCTGGGAATTTTTTTTTTTTTTTTAGAATAGAAAATTCAGTGAAGCTACATCAAAGAATGACTAACTCTGGAACATTTTGGTGTTAAATTCTATGTCCTTTCTCAATTATTTGCATTAATAGAGAAGAACTCATCTTACAGGTGAAGCAGACACTTACAGAAATATGACAGGTATTAAGGAACAGTGTTTTCCAACATGAAGAGATGTTAACTTTCACTAGATAAATGTCCCTGGGCTGTGTATACTAATATCACTATAGTAATGACAATTATAAAAACATTTTAGGAGCTGGGAATGTGGCTCAAGCAGGAGCGTCCTCGCCCGGCATGCATGCGGCCTGGGTTCGATCCTCAGCACCACATACAAATAAAGATGTTGTGTCCACCAAAAACTAAAATAATAATAATAATAATAATAAAAATTCTCTCTCTCTTTAAAAAAATAAAAACATTTTATATTTTACTTCATACAAAACTCAAGTTTATTCTACTATTTTCTTATCTCCATGCATCCCTAGGACAGTTTTTAAAATTGTGAAATATTTTAATTGATAACGCAGAATGCTAAATCATACCCGTCTTTACATTTTTGTGCTTGCTAACTATTTTTAATTCTTTGTAGTTATGTCCATCATTAGGATACACTTTGACCTTATCACAATAGCATGGAATACAGTTTGTTCTAATTCTGTCCCCAGCACTTCACCCTCTCACATTCTTTCCTCTACTCCTTCTACTCTATTGATCCCTGTGCAACTTTTTATTTTTTAACTGGGGATTGAACTCAGGGTCACTCAACCTCTGAGCCACATCCCCAGCCCTATGATGTATTTTATTTAGAGACAGGGTCTCACTGAGTTGCTTAGTGCCTTGCACTTGTTGAGGCTTTGAAATCATGATCCTCCTGTCTCAGCCTACCAAGCTTCTGGGCTTACAAGCATGTGCCACCGTGCCTGGTAATCCCTTTGCAATTTATATGTAGTATTATTTTTACTTATTTGAAAATTAGTGCCTGGTGAATGTGTTTGATGTTGTGATTCATTGTGGTATATTCACAGATGAAATTTGGTCAGATTAATTCAACTGTTCTTTCCTTTTTCTGTCTCTCCTTCCTTCCCCTCAACACACTTCATCTACTATTCTGATCTTTTTATCAATTTTGATTAAATCTTCTCTCCTTTTTTTTCCTACAATATTTTCAAAGGACACTAAGTTTTTCAAATTTAGAATAATATCTATGTGATACTGAAGAAAATAATTAGTCATTATATGTAATGAAACTGTAAATGTTTTAATAAACGAAATGTTATTAATTTTGGTAAACACACACTACACATTTTATTTGAAGTTACTACTATTGCTAATATTATATTAGCTAGGATTTTTAGTATAGGTGTCCCTGAGTTTATGAATTGTTGTAAGATGAGTTGAAACATGTTAAGTACTAGAAAGTAGTATAAAGCTAGAACTGCTAGACTTTTTAATTCTAACTCCTTGTG